CTCATATCGCTTTCGATCACGTGGAACTTCATTTTCTGGATGGTCCAGGCCACGTTTATCGGCAGAATTATCTCGCCTTTGGTGGTTTCACATGCCATATTGAATCCGTTTAGAACCAGGGTCGCGGGTATGATCTGGTCCTGTAGACCGAGCTGTTATATGACCTTCAATCTAATGATGTTGGCCGAGCTACCTGGATCAATTAACACACGCTTAACTTTAGTTTTATTCATAAGTACAAATATAACTAGTGCATCGTTGTGAGGTTGCATGACCCCTTCTGCATCTCCGTCATTGAAGGACAAGGTTCCTATGGGTGTGTAATCCCAAGTTCGAGATCGCTTCTCTCTCATAACTGATGTTTTAGTGTGTTTCAGTACCGACCCCTGAGGAGTATCGACGCCACCGATGATCATGTGGATGACGTGTTGAGGTTCTTCCTGTCCGTTTTGTTTACCAAAATCCTTGTTTTTGAAATGGTTATTGGCTCTATCGCTTAAAAATTCTCGAAGGTGCCCTTTATTGAATAATCGGGCCACCTCCTCTCTTAGTTACCGACAATCTTCAATTCTGTGCCCATGGGTGCCATGATATTCACATATTTGATTGGGGTTCCTCTGAGCAGGATCGGTCTACATGGGTCGAGGCCATTTAGTGTCCTTGATGCGTCCGATAGCCGACACGATGGCAGATGCATCGATGCTGAAGTTATATTCCGATAGACGTGGTGCTTCCTTAGGTCCGGTATGCCTATGGAACTCATTTTTGTCCATCAGTCCCCGAGACCCTTGGCTTTGAGTATTTCTCTTTTTGCCTCGTACGAGGTTATGTGGAAGTTTGTTACCCCGACGATATTCGTTGTATGGCTGTTATCGATCCTTGCTTGACCTTGAATCTCAATTGGCATCCCCTTTGAAATCGGACCCTGAACCTGACTGATCGTCTTCGACCCTTATTTTAGATTGATACCGATTGTGCACATCGGCCCAAGTAATAGCTGGGTATTCGATCAGGTTATGTTTGAGCCGTCGTGAAGCCATCGAGCTCCGTTCGTTCAGACTTTGAGTGAAAGCTTGAACGGCCCAATCGTCTGTAACTGGTGGTAGATCCATTCGTTCCATTTGGAAACGAGACACAAATTCTCTTAGCATCTCATTATCCTTTTGTCTAACCTTCAATAGGTCCGATTTTCGTGTCTCGACTTTTATGGCCCCGGCGTGTGCTTTTACGAAACAATCTGTAAGCATAGCAAAAGAATCAATAGAATTAGATGGTAAATTATGATACCATATCATTGCCCCCTTTGACAGGGTTTCGCCGAATGTTTTTAATAATACAGATTTGATCGCATCATCTTCTAGATCGTTTCCTTTAATGGCACATGTGTAAGAGGTAACGTGTTCGTTGGGGTCGATTGTCCTATTATACTTAGGAATTTCGGGCATGCAAAACTTCTTAGGGATTGGTTTAGGGGCTACGCTCGGGGGGAAAAGAAAAGCTTCTGTACAATTTTTTTGGAATCTAAGCCTTTCAATATCGGGGGTGCTCCCGGTATTTGATCGACCCTGGAGTTGTATGCTTCCACTTTTTTGTTGTTTTCTTCGATCCGTTTTGATAGTTCATCGAACATCTTAACAACTTCGAGATTAGTCCTCGATGCTTGATCGTTTGACCTTGCTACAACTGGCTCTGTTCTGCGGATGATCTCTCGGGGTGGAGTCAACTCCGGTCTGCTCGGTACCTGTGTTTGACTCTGCAACTAGGCTATTGCTACCTGTTGAGCTTGCAAAATTTCGAAAATCATACGCAAGCTGATTCTGTTTTCTTCAATGTTATGGGTGTGTCGAGGTGCAGATCGAGTGCCGCCATGAATGCTATTTTCAGGTACAAAATGTAAGTTCGCCTCAATGGCCACATGCGAGTTGATGTCTATCGGTACTTCGATTCAAGCTCCAACGGTGTTGATCAGGTTGTTATTTTCATCTTGAAGAGCAACTTCGTTATCGCTAGGTAAGGCCATTTGATTGATAGTTAATCGTTTCTAATCCGAAATCCAATATTCTTTCAAAAATAAGCACAAAATGGCGTATTTTTGCGGATTCGTATCAAATAACCATTGCTATCCCTAGACCCACGGTGGGCGCCAAACTGTTTACTCGAAAATCGGATAGAGTTAAATTTGTACGTGATTCTAAAGATATGTGGTATAGCTTAATGCAAATCGTAAGGATAAATAGAATCTTAAATTCGGATACTTAATAAACAAGGTTGGAAAGAAGATGATTTTTAGGAATAAACAAGATAAACCAATGTATGAAGCTTAAAGGAACAACTCTTCAGTATTATGATGTTTTTGTTACCATGTAAGCTAAGAAAAACTTGCCCTTACAGAAATAATAGCCATCTCCTTTATAGTAGTGGGATCTTACTTTAGATACAATTAAAAATACATAGTGGGAGACCCATGATAAATTAACTTTTCCATAATTCCTGCTAAGATTCTCTCCTCTAGTGGGATTGCAATGGTTCTTGTCTATGAGCTCGATATTGACTCGAGTTTTCGGTCTTGACTTGGGCTCGATTCTGACTCGGATCCTTGAATTGATTCGGGGTCAATGTTGGTCGGTCTCTGAATCGTAAGCTCGATAACTTTTCTTTGCATCGTAGTTCGATTTGAATCCGAGCTTGATAATGATATCGAACTCGACATCGATTGGTCCCTTGGGCTTTGAAACTTGTTTGCACCATCTCCGGACCCATCTCGAATTCTTAGTAGTCGATCCATTATGTTTTGACCTTGATCGATCGTACTAAGGTCGAAATCTATTTCGACCGTATACAAAAGGCTTATACAACCATTTTACCCTTGGTCCGTCCAAGGAGCCTTCACTTATTAATAAGTTAAATTAAAAAATAAAACAATCTGACGTGAGAGGCTATGATCAGCGACTCAGCCTGGCAATTAGGATTTAAAATAGTCAAAGTTAGTTTTTCAATAGTAATAATTAGAAGTGATATACTATAATTATCATCTTTGTTAGTTGCTTCTTAATGGGCGCGCCTAGTCAAATATGAATAAATAAACATGGACGAAGGGAGTATAAGATGATCTACATATTACTTTTTCTTTTTTCATATTCCATCAATCATTATATAAATCTTTAAGATTGCGTAAACTAATTTTATGCATCCCGTAGCTAAAGCCAATAGTTCAAAGAGGTTACATCCATGAGGAAAATTGATGAAGATCAAGAAGATGGCAGAACAGAACCTCACTTGGAAAATACAAATGGGCAACAACAATCTATGGTGGGATAACTGGACTAGAAAAGGAGCATTGGCGGAACTAATACCATGTCAGGCAAAGTTTGCTAAAGACAAGATGGAAGATTACATTCTAGGCGGTACATGGAACGTTATGAAGCTAGCAGAGGTTATACCTAAATACATGATAGGTCAAATTACCAAATTAAGGATTGGAGATCAAAATGCATAAAATTATGCTATTTGGGACCCTGTAGCAGATGATCAATTTTCAACCAAATCGGCTTATCACCTTACTATCACGCCAAGACAGAAGATAATTTCAGATATAAGGTTTGGCACCCTAAACTTCCTTTTAAAATATCATTCTTGGCTTGGAGATTGATACAAAGAAAGCTGCCATTTGATGACACCATTGGAATATTTGGAGGCAATATGGTATCAGATTGTGTTTGTTGCAATGATAAAAAGAGAGAGACTCTTCAACATGTATTTCTGGAAGGTGATGCTACTAACAAAATGTGAAAACAATTTGGTGGACCTTTGGGCATTGATGACAAGGCCATATCAATTAATAACATGCTAAGGAAATGGTGGAAACTTAGGCCAAAAAATAGGGTACATAAAATGGTGCTACACATCACACCAATTGTGATTGTATAGGAAAATTGGAAGCACAGATGCGCCTGTAGATATGGGGAGCAGAAAAACTTGTGGCACAGAACCCTGGAACACCAGATTTGGTGGATAATTAAGATGACTATGGGGAGGGCTTTCAAAAATTGCGACTTTGGAAACTCATGGATAGAACCATGTGGAATAGTTAAAAGATTTAAACCTACTCCCAAATGAAAGATTGTCGCGTGGTTTAAACCTACTGAACACAAAGTGAAGATCAATAGTGATGGTAGTTTCTCAAAAGGAAAAGCTGGAATTGGTGGGGTTGTTAGATACCATATATGTGGTATGATTATGGCATATGCAATCCCATTTGTATGTTCTAGTAACAATCTGGCAGAAGCACAAGCTGCACTTTTTGGTGTCCAATGGTGCCTGCAACATGATTATGTAAATTGTGACTTGGAAATGGATTCACCGGTAATTGTAGATATGCTAAAAAATAGGCACTTGACTAACTTGAAACTGAAGGACTCAATTGAGGCATTGCTACAACTCTTCTCCAGCTAAATTGCATATTTTCTCATTGTTTTAGAGAAGCGAACCAGGCTGTTGATAGTTTGTTTACAGTTAGATTAGTTGATCCTTGTATGTATTTTGACTGGCATTGTTTGCCTAGAATTGTAATTGGATCTTACCAGCTAGATAAAATGTAGCAACATAGCATTATGACTAGGCTAACTTTTTTGTAAGCTAAAGTATTATACTGTTCGTATAGGTTAAGGTGGAATGTACCTTGGCCTACTTTTGAGTGTTGGCAGATGCCACACTGTTGTACCCGGTTAGGAGCTAATACATGAACACCCAATGTTCTTGGGTGTTTAAGAGAAAAAATGATCTTCTGTAATCCATTATCTTAATTAATATTTATTTTATTGCCTTCAATTAATATATAGATCAATAGAAGAAAATAAGAAAAAATGCCCCACAAATGACTTCTTGTGGCGACCTTAAGGAGAAAAGTATCGTCCCTAAAACCTAATGGTGGCGACCCTTAATCAAAAGGCACCACAAAAAGTTACAAATGAAGAAGAAAGTTGCCACAAAAGTATTTTCAATTAAGAATTCTTCAAACAAAGCTTTTGAAGCTCAATCACAGCTTCATCTATCTCTTTACCTTCTTCCCTTTTCATCTTCTCACTCAATTCCCTTGATTTCTCTCTTAACTCTTCCCCTTTCTTCTCCACTATTACATTCTTTATAGCTTTTGCTATCTCTTCTGCTTTCACTTTTCCATTTTGATCTCTCTTCACTTCCAAACCAACACCAAGTTCCACCATATATCTTGTAGCTATAAATTGATCAACAAGCACTGGCATAGCAATTATAGGCACCCCAAAATGCAAACTTTCTAATATAGAATTTGATCCACAATGATTTAGAAATCCAACAATATTAGAATGCCTTAGTATTTTTGCTTGAGGTGCCCATTTGGTCACAATCCTTCCCTTTTCTTTCACACGTTCGTTGTATCCTTCTGGAAGAATCTCATCGATACCACTAATCTTCTCATCTAATGAAAAATTAACAACCCATAAGAAATTTACATTACTAAGCTCGAGTCCACGAGCTATTTCTTCGATTTCTTCCTTGTTCACAACACATTCACTACCAAAGGCTACATACAAAGTTGAAGATGGATCCTTTTTGTCTAGCCATTGTATGATATCTTCAGAGTCCTCCACTCTGCTCTCTGTTTTCCCTATTAGCGGACCGACACTAATAACATTTTTCTTAGTTAAAATTGAGAAATATTCCATGTACTTAGTCTCAGTGCACTTCCAATTGTTGATCAAAATGATATCTTGTGACATTGCAACCCCACTACTAGCAAAAATGTCATCTATGAATTTCGTCATGGATGCATTTTCGGAGTATAATTTTTCTAACTCGTAACGAGGTAGAAAAATTTCTGGAAATGGAAAATCTTTCGTGCCATCAAATGCATAAAGATGATAGAAAAATGAAGCTGTTGTTGCTCCAAGAATGATATAGCTAACAGCAGGAATATGTAACGACGAAGCTATTTTTGGTGCCCAATTTTGGAAAATGTCATATATGATCAAATCTGGATTGAGAGTTGTTACTATATTAGAAAAAATTGGACCTGCCGTTTTAAAAGAATTCAAGAGAATTGGAAAAAGATGTCTAGGTAAGCCTTTGGTTGTTTGATATTCTAGGGGAAGTTCAAGTGTAGATGGCAAGTGAAGCTCTATAAGTTGGATTTTTGTGTTTGAATGATTATTTGAGAAGAAATTGGATTGGCTTTTCTTGAGGAAATTAAGGATAATGGGAGTTGAACAATAGTATACATAGAAATTGCATTTGGATAGTCTTTTGGCAAGTTCAAAAAATGGGGTTGCATGGCCATGTGCTAACCATGGAACCATTAGAACTTTGAGAGAGTTTCTTTGACTTTCCTCCATGAATGGAATATGGAACTTTCTTGATTGTGTTCTTGAAGTATTGGACTATTGGTTCATGATTTATAATTAGTGGGTGTTGAATATAAGAATTGTGAAATTCCGAAAAAAGTGGATTTTTTTTTTCAAGTTGAAAATGATATTTGAAAATTATAGTTGTGTTTGGGTACGAATATAATTTGTAGTTCTTTTTTGAATTTTTATGAATGCTTTGAATTTAAAATTTTGAAAAATAATTTTTTTTGAGTTTTTCAAATTTTGAACGAAATTCAACTTCAAGGGAAATTTAAAATTTTCAACCTCAATCACTAATTCCGAAAAAAATATAAAAATAACTTTTTTATGGCCAAACGGGCCTCCTTAGTTCCGCAACAAATCAGAGTGAAATTTAATTTGAATTTTTCATGTTTTAATGTTTAAATTGATAATGAACCATCCACACCTACCACGTTATCTCTGCGACTCTGACAATTACTTTACATAGCCATAGATGGGAAAGCTACCACGTTTGCTTTAGTTTAGCCATAGATCCATTTACAGTAACATATGGCTCCCTTGGACCACCACGAAATGTGGTGGAACATACATGATTTTCTCACCGTTAATTAGAGATCTTGAGTTTGAATTTTAGAAATTAGGGGAATAGAGCATAATATATGGGTGCGAGTGAGTTTAATAGCTTTGACTCAAACTCTGTATATACAGTTATATGGATACGATACTTTACCCATAGACGCTTCTCCAGCTCTCGCAAGAATTGTTTTGGAGTGTCCCTCGGAGGGACTTTTCGAATGACCGTACACAGTCACGTGCTGAGCAAAGAGGTATATATCACACTTATTCACACGCGCAAGGTGTGACATCCACCAAGAAAATCTATTAAATATTTACGAATATTAAATTTTGAACCTAATTACCAGCACTTGAGATTGTTGTCCTAGAATCACGAAAACATAAAGTTCAAACTCAGATCCGCCTCTTGGAAAAGGAGTGCTTCTTGGTAAGAACCAGTTTATCCCCACCCCTACCCCGTAGCGAGCTCAATCATGGCGAATATAAATTAATTGAATAAGTGAGTTTCAGATACCGAATACGTACGATATACGTTGACATGTTATCAGGTTAAATAACCTACAATAATAATTTTTTATGAAAATATAAAATGAAAAATAGAGAAACAACCCATTATACCCAATTAAAGTACACTTGATAAATACGGATAAAGGGTATGGACTACATGCTAGAACAATGGTTAAAGAAGCTAATATAGTTAAGTTAAGAAATAATTAAGCATCTATGACGTTGTTAGGATCTCATATAAACCTTTAGGGCCCTTACATGTAAATGGACCTTTATGAGCTTCTAAAATATCTTTGGAATATTGTTTACTTTTTTTAGTCATATACATAGATTATATATTCATTATACATAATTATATACATATAATACATATATTATACTTCCACCGATTATTTTTAATTTAAGGATTGAATGGGCGATTATTTGGATTAATTCTTCAATATCTTTTTGTTGGTGACCGGTTAATTCCCCAATTGGTCCTATACATGTGTCTCCAATGGGCCTGCATTCAACAAATTAACGAGCAAAATTCATTTATAGTTAGTCGGGCCAAATTTATAATACCTGGTAGCCCAAAATTACAATATACATTTTATAGCCTAAAAATAATTCTAGTGGTAGCCACCGAATTATAGATCTGACTCACGAGCACTAATACAGATTCACTGGAGAAATAATTTTCGACCCGAAATGGTTTAGTCGAAAAACTTCACCGGTCGCAGTAGTGGCCGAAAAATTCACGGTCGCCAGAAAAGCTATATACCGGCCAGATCTACCGAAATTCAAATAGCAAGCAAATCATCTTTTAGATCTAGATTTTCATAATATCAAAAGCCCCAAAAATAATAAACAAAATGAGAAGAAAGAGTCGCCGGATTTAATGGAGGGTTGTAGGTATTTGAGTTTCCGTCCAGATCTAAAGCCAACGAGATCAAGCACAGTGGGTTAGACTGACTAGGTTTTGATTTCGATTTCATGATTTGTGGTAAGGTCGAAGTTGGAGCCTGGGCACCATTAATATTGATACTACAACGATTGAGATTTGACAAATCTTGTATTCAATTCTTGAAACCTTCCATTTCACCATGGAAGTCAACAATGTCTTTTCTGATCATTGTCATTTCCTCTTTGTAATCTGTTTAAGCGGGTTGGCTCCCATTTGGCCCCCAAGTATCACTTACTCTCCCTATCCTCTGTTGCAACTCGTGCATATCAAACATCAATATTTTATCAATATCCTTTTTGGACCAACTTTTTCATAAATAAATTGTATATGAGGCTAATACTTAAAAGTCATTTTAGATTATATATTAGACTGGAGAGCATTTCTTTTGAATATTGATATATTATAAAATATATACAAAATAGACTGTCATTATACAAAAATTATACAAAATAGACTGTCACTATACAACATATATACAATAAACTATCACTATACAAAATATATACAAAAATAGACTGTCATTATACAAAAAATATACTAAATAGANTTCCAAACACGGGTTTAAGCCATTTCTTCAATAATTTTCAAGAACCAAACGGGTAGAGGCGATTTTCTAGAGTCATTTTCTTCTCCAAAGTGTTGGTAAGTGATTCTAAACTATTTTCTTTCAGTTACCCATTACGCTTTATGAATTATCTACCTAAAATCTAGAGTTTTCATGGTAAAATTAGGGGTTAGGGTAGAAACTAGGGATTTCGAAAATTTGAAAATTTAGACCTCGAATCGAGGTCGGATTCCAAAACCAATTGTATATCCGGACTCATCTCGGAATGGGTGTTCGGATTTCGTAAGTTTTTTCGAGATTTGAGACGTGGGTCCCACTGCCGAATATTTTAATGAATTTCAAATTTTATCCGAAAAATTAGTAAATTCATATGGAATTAATTCCTATGATTCGTATTNATATACTAAATAAAATGTCACTATACAAAAATATATAAAATAGACTGTCGCTATACAAAAACTATACAAAATAGACTGTCACTATACAAAAATATACAAAGTAGATTGTCACTATACAAAAAATATACTAAATAAAATGTCACTATACAAAAATATATAAAATAGACTGTCGCTATACAAAAACTATACAAAATAGACTGTCACTATACAAAAATATACAAAGTAGATTGTCACTATACAAAAAATATACTAAATAAAATGTCACTATACAAAAATATACAAAATAGACCGTCGCTATACAAAAACTATACAAAATAGACTGTCACTATACAAAAATATATAAAGTAGACTGTCACTATACAAAATATATACAAAATAGATAATTTCAGGCTATTAGATGTAATATGTTTGGGCCGGAGGGCCATTTGGAAAAATGTGAGCTATTAAAACATGGGTCATTTTCTCCAAATTAACGGTGGCGAGAGTGAGCTATATGAATGCAATCATAAAAACATGGTCCACCAGAATCATTTTTGTCAAATTTTCATACATTTCAGGTAAGTTTTTTATAAATCCTGATCAAAGTTATTTTTGTGATGTGTGAAGCAAAGTAAAATAATTTTTATATAAATAATACTCCTTCCGGTCCATAATAATTGATCTTTTGGCCTTTGGTACACCCCTTAAGAAATATTAACTCCTAGAAAAAAATAGATATTTGGACTAAATTACCCATAATTAAAATTTATATATTGTTAACTTGACACATTGGGATATGTAAATTAGGGTAAAGTTTTGGAAAAAACTAAGCTAACTCCTTGATTATTTGGACCAAAATAAAAAAGGCAAAAAAATCACTTATTATGGACCGGAGGGAGTAACTTTTAAATAATGAACATAATGTTGAATGACCATCCATAAACTTTACTCGCCAAATATACTATAAAAGATACAATTACCCCAGTAAAACCTAGGAGACATAGGGTGTGTTTGGTACGAAAGAAAATATTTTCCTAAAAAATATTTTCATGGAAAATGAGTGGTTTTATCACTTATTTTCCGTTGTTTGGTTGGTGAGTGAAAAATATTTTTCAAAAAATATTTTTTAGTGTTTGGTTGGTGAAAATATATTTTTTTAAAAATAAATTTTTATGCTACTCTCCTCGCCCCCTCCCCCCTCCCNTGGGGATGGAGAATAGGGTGGGAAAGGGAAAATATTTTCCTCCAATTGAAGGAAAATATTTTCCAAAATATTTAGGCCAACCAAACATGGGAAAATTGGAAAATATTTTCCTTCATACCAAACACACACATATTCTTAATTTCAATGACATCACAAAACGTAGTGCTGATATTATCATATACAAATTTTAGGTGTATATAGGTTAATGCATATGGGTTCACGTGAGATACTCCTCCTTAAATCATGTATAATAATGTTATATTTCTTCAAAACTACTAAAATATATGTGCGTACACCCATACTCAAAGAATCCTATGGTGCAATAATTATGTCAGAACCCGAAATTCTCACCTTCGGGACCGTGACGGCGACTAACATTTCACTCGCTAGGCAAGCCAACGTTAGTGTAAATCATTTGCCATTTTAAACATTTGAAGTAATTAAGCTCATTTGAACTGAAATGATGTGCGAAAAGGTAAAACAACCACAAATGTCTAAGTACAATCCCGGAT